CGATTCAGAGACGCCATCTGTAGGAAGTGTTCCAGAAGGGGCCACATCGCTAAGGTCTGCCGATCGGCTCCGTCTGACACCCCCCCTTCATCGACTCGCAAGTCCAAGTCTTCACTCCAGTCTGCCAAGGAAAGTTGTTTCGCTCTCACCAACTGCCGCTGCCCGTCTGGAACCACGATTGGCCAAACCGACTCGCCTACGCGACGCAAGCTGAACGTCACGGTGCTCATTGAAGGAGCTCCATGTGACATGGAGATCGACACCGGGTCTGCCCTGTCCATCGTGTCATGGAGCACCATCAAAAGACTGGTACCCAGAGTGTCCAAAAGGCAACTCGACTCTCACCGCGTACACCTGAGAGACTACCAGGGAAACGACATTCCCGTGGTAGGCGTTGGCCGGTTCCGGATCGCTTTCAAGGATTTTTCGGGCCTGCTCCGGTTGGTGGTGGTCGAAGGTCAGCGGCCAAGCCTCCTAGGGCTAGACTGGTTTGATGCCCTCGGCCTGGAAGTCACTGGCATCAACTGCATCTCTAACGCAGAGACTGAGGGTCTGGTCAAAGACTTTGCCAAGGTTTTTGACGGCACCTTGGGCCAATATACAGGTACGCCCATCTCCTTTAGCCTTGATCCACAAGTCGCCCCCATCAAGCTAAAGCCACGCCGGGTTCCCTTTGCTCTCAAGGCTAAGGTGGACGAACAACTGGACAAACTGATCGCCCAAGGAGTTTTGGAGCCGGTTGACCACGCAAAGTGGGAAACCCCCATCGTCACGCCTGTCAAGCCAGATGGGTCGGTGAGAATCTGCGCTGACTACAAGTGCACGATCAACAAGGCACTTCAGCAGCACGCTTATCCGGTTCCTGTTGTCCAACACCTGCTGCATTCCCTGGGTGAGGGTAAGGTCTTCGCTAAGCTGGACCTTGCCCAAGCCTATCAACAACTGCCAGTCGATGATGCCACTGCTGAAGCCCAGACGATCGTCACCCACCGGGGGGCTTTCCGTTGCCGCCGGTTGCAGTTCGGGGTGAGTGTGGCTCCTGGCATCTTCCAAAGCCTTATGGAGCGTCTCCTGCAAGGGCTTCCGGGCGTGGTACCATATTTTGATGACGTCTTGGTGTCTGCAGACTCACACCAGCAGCTGTTCGAGCGCCTCCGTGCCGTGCTGACCAGGTTCCAGGAGGCCGGGCTCAAGGTAAAGAGGGAGAAGTGCCAGATCGCCGTTCCACAGGTAGAGTTCCTGGGCTATCTTATCGATGCCTCCGGTCTTCATCCAACCACATCCAAGATCCGCGCTATCCAGCAGGCCCCCACCCCAAAGAACAAAACGGAGTTGCAGGCATTCCTGGGGCTGCTGAACTTTTATAACATGTTCCTGCCCCACAAAGCCACAGTGGCTGAGCCTCTTCACCGACTCCTTAGCACTAAGACGCCTTGGGCCTGGGGTCATCGGGAGACGGCGGCCTTCAACGCGGTCAAGGCTCTCCTTTCTTCAGACAGTGTGCTGGTACAGTACAGTGAATCTAGGCCGCTGGTCCTTGCCTGCGACGCCTCACCTTTTGGCATCGGTGCTGTCCTTAGTCACCGTTTTCCAGATGGAAGAGAAGCACCGCTCGCCTACTTTTCCAGGACACTATCTCCGACGGAACGGAATTACAGCCAGCTCGACAAGGAGGCATTGGCACTTGTGGCTGGAGTGAAGAGGTTCCATGAATACCTCTATGGCAGGACTTTTGACCTCATCACTGACCACAAGCCACTCCTGGGCCTCCTCGCCGGTGATCGTCCAACTCCACCGGTCCTCTCACCACACATGCTGCGATGGACTGTTTTCCTGGCTGCCTACCACTACCGGCTCATCCATCGCCCGGGGAAATCGATGGGCCATGCCGACGCCCTCAGCCGTTGCCCTCTTCCAGCATTTGTGGAAGACCCGGCTCCAGCTTCATCGCTCCTTCTGATTGAGGATCTTCCGGCAGCGCCTGTATCGGCTGCCACTGTGGCCTCCGCATCTGCCCAGGATCGCACCATCAGCCGGGTGCTCAACTGGGTGTGGAGGGGGTGGCCACAAGGGCCTTTTGCATCGGAGTTCCAGCTCTTCGCAACCAGACAACATGAACTCTCAGCTCATCGTGGCTGCCTGCTGTGGGGAGACCGCGTCGTGATTCCCCAGGGACTCCGTCAGCGCGTCCTGGAGGCTCTGCACGTTGGCCACCCGGGAATTGTCAAAATGAAGGCGTTGGCTCGGTGTTACGTCTGGTGGCCTAATATGGACGATGCCATCACTGCCTGGGTGTCCGCCTGTCAAGCGTGCCAGGAGTCGAGGCCTGCACCACCGGCAGCTAAGGGACACACCTGGGAGACGCCAAAGACACCCTGGTCGAGGGTGCACATCGATCTGGCTGGCCCCTTTCACGGCCGGACCTTTATGGTAGTGGTGGACGCCTATTCCAAATGGCTGGAGGTCGCACTGATGCCCTCCACCACTACCGAAGCTGTCATCTGGGTGCTGCGAGGCCTGTTTGCAACGCATGGGTGTCCTGATGTCCTTGTCTCTGACAACGGACCGCAGTTCACGTCAGGCACGTTTGAGCGGTATCTTTTGGGACTGGCCATCCGCCATGCCCTAACGGCACCCTTTCATCCATCCAGCAACGGGCAAGCGGAAAGAATGGTGCGCTCGACAAAAGAGGCACTGGCGCGCCTGGACCGGGGAGACTGGCATGAGCGGGTCGCCGAATACTTGTTCGTGCAACACATCACCCCTCATGCGGCCACAGGGAGGAGTCCTGCTGAACTGCTTATGGGCCGCCGCCTCAGGTCACCGCTCGACCGGCTACACCCAGACTTTGCCGTGGCTGAACCCCCAGGCTGTGCCAACGCACCACGGTCATTTGTCCCAGGAAACCAGGTCTTTGCCCGGAACTATGTGGGGGACATCCCTTGGGTGCCAGCCACAGTAGTGGGAGTCACTGGACCTCGCTCGTACCAGGTGGCACTCGAAGACGGACGCTTGTGGCGACGGCACATAGACCAGCTTAGGCGCAGGGTTGGGGACTTGGACACTACCGAGGTGCCCCCAACTGCGTTTGCGGCTCCAGAAGAGACACGTACAGATGGCGAGGCCCCACCTACACCTCCCTTGCAAACTGCCAGCGTGGAGCCGAACCAAGCCGTTTCAGAACAGACTCAGACCACTCCACTTGCGGAGGCTCCACCCACAGCAGCGGATCCAGGGGAGTTGGTTCCAACGCCACCCAGGGTCGCACCACAGCCTCAGCGAGAACTGTGTGGCCCTCCGGACTTGGCTACCAGTTCCCGGCGGTCTGGCAGAGTTTCCAAGCGCCCAACTTATTTAAAGGACTATGTTGTTGGACAGGTATCACTGTTGGTCTAAGTATGGGAAATGTAACCAATATGCTTTTGTGCTTAATGGAACCATTACGCGTAGTGCTGTATATAAGGAAACCATTACGATTGTAACTAACGCCTTATCTCGGTGGGGAGGGGTGTTATGTAGTGTAGTTTCACCCTGGGCCAACAGGGGGATACTGTATATAGTTTTCACTCAGGTCTGTAGATAGTTTTCACTCAGGTCCGCGGCAGTTATTTTAGGCGGGAACTCTGGGCTGTTGTGGTTACAATGTTGACAGCCGGCTGCCTATAAATACAGGCCGGCTGAGCTGTCGCAGTCAGTTGTATTCCAGCTTACCATAATAAAGAGCTACTTGAAGAAATCGCTGTGCCGGCTGCTATGTCAACCCACGACTTAACATAATCTATAATGTATTTTGGAAAGTTATTTGTTCACTATGCATTTGGACACCTCTTAAGATATTCTAACCAAAATTTGCCTGACTGTTCCTGAGCAGGTTTCCATATATGTTTGGATACAACTGGACACCATTTTGAATCAAGATGGATTGAACCGCTTAAGAAGAAGAAGAAGAAGAGGAGGAGTTTGGATTTGATATCCCGCCTTTCACTCCCTTTAAGGAGTCTCAAAGCGGCCAACAATCTCCTTTCCCTTCCTCCCCCACAACAAACACTCTGTGAGGTGAGTGGGGCTGAGAGACTTCAGAGAAGTGTTACTAGCCCTAGGTCACCCAGCAGCTGCATGTGGAGGAGTGGAGACGCGAACCCGGTTCCCCAGATTACGAGTCTACCACTCTTAACCACTACACCACACTGGCTCTCTTAAAATTTCAGTGATTAATTACCAATTTTCAAAACTGCAAAACCCCTTTCATTTCAATCCCTGTATGAGCCCCTGGAGAGTTGCCGCCAATGAGATCAAATAATACTGAGTGAGATGACCAATGGAGTGACTCAGTATAAGGCAGCTTCATATCTCATATGCTGGAATAGGGCATATCTAGGATACAGTGCATTAATGGAGCTCAGTACGTGACTGCAGAATATAAGAGTCTTAATTACCTATCACAATTGCTGGTTGTGTGAGGAACTTTTTGTTAACTACTTATACTAATGATATATTCAGAGCACAGCAAAAACTTCCTGTAATGCTAATTTGATATTTGACTTTATGCATAGCTCATCCTTTGTCCTGTAATGAGACTGTGTTCTGTATGTCAATGAATGCTGAGCAGACATCTTACTTCCTAAGAAGATACACATAAAACTGATGGATGCCAAGGCAAACGCTTATGAAAAATACTCGGAAAACAAGATAATTGCCAAGCAAAACTTTCTCTGCTCAGGCCATATGGAGAAAGCAGAGGAACACTGAATGAGTGTTTTGTTTATGAAGATGTACAAAAAATGCTAATGTATACTGAGGGAACATCTTTCTGCTGAAGATATACGAGGAATGCTGTCAAATTTGAAATGGGCTTTTGCTAACAATGCGATAAGGGTGGCACTAATAGCTCCAGAGTAGAGGGTACACCCTATGCGTTTCACAAAGTATAAAGAAGAAACGAATTATTCAACTCTAAAAGCACGGTTAGCCCATACTCATAATTATGAAAAATATATTACCAACAGTGGCATCAAGGACAGACTCAGCTATAGGTCTTCTCAATCTTCTGGCCAAAAGAACTGGAGTAGCTTAATTGGATGCAGCAAGAAACTACTCTTTACAGTACAGAAAGCCTCACACTTAATTTGCAATCAGCTTCCAGCCGTGGAGCTCTTCCTGGAATGATTAGGTGGGCCACATGACACTGCATGGTCACATGATGATTCCAGGAAGAAGAATTGTCTGGCTAGAAGCTGGCTGCAAAGAGTTTGTTAATGTAAAAAAAGGTAGCTTCATCCACCCTACCAGGTCTTACAAATGTTTCTGCGAAGGTCTCTTACGCCCCACAAAAAAGGTGGGGGGGGGGGAGAATGCTTGTTTTGTGGGAGGCCAAACATTTGAAAAAAGAAAAAAGCCCACCCCAAGAATTCAGCACAGCCTTAATGTGCAACCTATTTCTCTTTTAACACAACATCTGACCTTTACCATCTGTAACAGGCACTTACTCAACGAGGGATATTCAGCCCTGCAGTTGGCAAATCTGCTTCAGAACATTTAGTCCTGGACTTCAGAGCACCTGCAGCTTTTCTAAGTAGTATTATTTGGCAACACATTTGAACCATGTGACTAACTCTAACAGCATCCACTAATATAAAATTATTAATGGCTCCAGCCTGGAACTTTGTTCAAGAACACCCATGTACGTATCCTGTATTTTTGTCCCAGTTCAAAACGATCTTTTTGGAAGAATAAAAAACAACAATCCTTAGTTCTTATCTTCAACAAGAGAACTTATCTTTCAGGTTTGGAGCTGACAGCCTTGGATATGTTCCGACTGACATTTCAAATCTTATGTCCATCTTTAAAAGACTATTTTTCTGTGTCTGTGGAATGCTTCAAAACAGCAAGGAGGAGGGTGTGTGTATATATATATTGTGGCAGGGGAGTGAATGCCTTTGGATGATCTGCGTCTGAAGCAATTAAAACAGTTTTCAGGAAGCCACACACACATATTTTTTTTTAAAACTTTCTTCATGCCAAATTTCCCCTTCCTACAGCAGTTACCAGGCATTAACTAAGAGGAATGAAGTCTTATTAATTCATGCTCTCCGCCCAAACAGAGAAATGGGGCTTTCTTCCAAGACTGTAACCTCTTTATCTTTATCTTAACTAATCAGTATGTACAGCCTGAAAAGAGATTTAAGAAAAACAATCTAACTCAGCTGTCTAAAGTTATTGCAGGGTCTGCTGTGAAGATGTAAAAGCAGCAAGAACAATGGTTACAATATTGTTTGATCACAATTCAGTTATAAAATATGGATTACATAACTAAGTGAATCACAGAGATCTCTGATATGCGGGAGAAAAGAGAGGAGGCTGTTGAAAGGCATAAGGCTCGCCATGTGCACGCTCTCTTCATCTTTGTCTTCACTCCTTTCTGGCAAAACTAGGCATGCTGGTAGATAGAAGAACATAGAAAACCAATTCTTTTTTAATTTTTTCAATTTTAGTAATATTATGTTGTGGCAATATGTAGCAAAAGCTATTATGCATCAACCGCCATTGCTTCTCGGGAAAAGGGGGAGACAAGGGGGGGACCAAGGAAATGACATAGGAAGAAGGCAGAGGGACAAATAGTTCTTTAGCATGGACAAACTCAAGAAAGGTAGTTCATGGTGCAACTCACAATGTGCAAGCTTCACAATCTGCTGGAACTGGAGTTCCCAACCAAGTCAGCACTAACTTGATGCTGTAGAATAGCAAGCCAAAGGATACAAACAACTTGGCCCATGCAATAATGAGCAGTCCTTAAATATTAAGCATGAAGAGCAGTGCAGTGCAAATGGGAAAACGATTCTTACTATACCTACTTGGAGTCACCCTCCAGTCATAGGCACCGTTTTATGTAATGTTAGTATGATAACCCGCCCTGTGGAACGCCCTCCCATCAGATGGGTGGGGTACAAATAATAAATTATTATTATTATTATTATTATTATTATTATTATTATATACGGGTGGCGCTGTGGGTAAAACCTCAGCGCCTAGGACTTGCCGATCGCATGGTCGGCGGTTCGAATCCCCGCGGCGGGGTGCGCTCCCATTGTTCGGTCCCAGCGCCTGCCAACCTAGCAGTTCGAAAGCACCTCCGGGTGCAAGTAGATAAATAGGGACCGCTTACCAGCGGGAAGGTAAACGGCGTTCCGTGTGCTGCGCTGGCTCGCCAGATGCAGCTTGTCACGCTGGCCACGTGACCCGGAAGTGTCTGCAGACAGCGCTGGCTCCCGGCCTATAGAGTGAGATGAGCGCACAACCCTAGAGTCTGGCAAGACTGGCCCGTACGGGCAGGGGTACCTTTACCTTTAGGTTTAGTATGATAATTGGCTGCTTTTGTGCCATTTAGCAACAATGCCACTTACCAACCGCTAAAGTTTATATTTTTAAATAACATTGTTTCTTTATCCCAGCAAGCTTGAGATCTGTTTGCACCTAATTGTCTGTTGGACACTTCCTATACCTTTTCTTGCTACAAATTGCAGACTTGGGGATTTAACATCACGCCCAATTCACCCCACACCATTTTGCTAAACATGCAGCCCTAAAGAGTAATTGAGAACTCAAAAGTCGGATCTCTATATTCTGATGTTTTGGTTGATCCTAATAAAGGTCACCTCCTAATAACTGTCACTATTTTGTGAGAGGGTTTCATTGGCATACCAGAAATTTAGCTTGGTGGTTTAAAGCAGTTTGGTACAACAAACTAACTTTAAAAAAGAAATACTTTTTTATGGTCTGCAAAGTTATAGGAAATGTACTTTTAAAAAGTATAGGATAACAACTGATTGACAGGAAAATTTATAACTTCCCTATAATCAAATCAGAACAAATGGACACCATGTACCGGTAACTTCTTTGAAAGCTTTGGGCAAACTATGAATGAATGCTCAACAAACTTGTTTGTAGGAGCCGAAAGGCATTATCCTTTTGGATTTCTCATAGTTTGGACCAATATGGCTACCTGTGCTATTTGATAGCAATTTTAAGCCCTACAGACAGGGATGGTATCATTTCTACACTCTGCCCAGTGCCTTGCATGCTGTTCATTTTTGCAGTAACTGCAATGTGGTAGACTGAAAAGAAGAGACTTATTTATCTCCATGAGTATACATTGGTTTCTTCTTATTTAAAACTCTCTATTTAATGGGGATAATAAATCATAACAATCATATTTGGTTTATAATAAGGATTGGGAACCTGTGGCCCTTAAGATGTTGTTGGGCCTATAGCTCGCATCAGTCCTAGCCAGCATGGCCAACAGGGAGGGTTGATGAGAGTTCTAGAAGGCCAACCCTGGTTTATAATGTGTTATCAGTTGCTATGAGCCCAGTGACATATAAAATGCATAGCTGCACCTTTCAGAAAACCCAAAACTGACTATTTGGTATCTTGCAAGGGATAACATCAGTTTAAAGTGTTTTCTATGATACATGGTTCTTTAGCATTCAGTAGTAATTCCCCACCCCCCACCCAATTTGAATCAAGACTGAATTGGATTCTCTGGAATGTGTCAGCTACTGTGATTGCTTTATTATGCCACTCCTAGCTTATCAGATTTTAAATTACCATATAAATCTACATACTTAGACAATAGAAGAAACATCGGTTTAAATGTATCTAATCTCATTTTCAAAGTTAGATAAGAAATAATCAACACTTTAAAATCAAAGTGATAGCCCTAAGCTAGGATCTGGGAGTCTTAGCAAAATTATCTACACCAATCATCATTAACGATAATAGTACTTGCAAAGCAGAAAACACTGCTGTAATTAATTGTAACACCTACAGGGTGAGAAGAACCAGGAGAAAACCTTCCCAAATTACATATTATTTGCTAAATTGCAATGCCATGATACAAAGACAGTTACTATATGCCAACAAAAAACAGTTCTCTTTCATTCTCAACATTAACAATGACTCTTAACATTCTTAACAATGGTCTCAACCTCAAAGCTCATATTATTAGAAGGGTACTGGACATGAGTCATGTATTCCATTGGATTATTTTGGACTTGTGCATGACCATTGTGCTGCTGTTCTAAAAGTGTGTACCTCATGAATGAAGATAAAGACTAAGGGATAGGACACAGGTATGAGATTCAAACTAGGTACAACACATGATAATTAACAGTTTTAATGGTATCATCACAGATCTAGAGTCAGCCCCTCAGGCAGACTCTGAGGTCACCAAGGAGGCAAAAACTAGGTATCATCATCAAGCCTTTTATTGGCATCACATACAAACATCCAGAGCAGCTTCGTCACGCTGGCCATGTGACTCGGAAGTGTCTCCGGACAGCGCTGGCCCCCAGCCTCTTAAGCGAGATGGGCGCACAACCCTAGAGTCGGACACGACTGGCCCGTATGGGCAGGGGTACCTTTACCTTTTTTACCTTTTTACAAACATCCATAGCAAATCAATACAGAATTACCACCTTCCCAGTGACACAAAACATTTGTCAAATGAAAGAGGCAAAGCAGTCTAACATTACATCTCTAGGTTTCCAGGGAGATCAGACGTCTGCAAAGTGTTTCAATGACAAAAAACCAGATAAAGATATTTAGCCACTAACTTGGTGAGCTCCTGATTATTCCCCAATACCAGAAAATGTATGACCTCTAACTCTGGTTTCCATTTGGGGATGCAGAGTTGATCTAGGAACTGCTGGTGGAGATCAACATATAGTTTACATCTAAGAACCATATGTGTAAGAGTTTCCACCTGATGGCCTTCACATGGGCAAATTCTTTCTAATCCCCCATTCCCGAGAACCTTCCCCATAGGAGGTTTGAAGAATTTGAATTAAACCTGGCCAGCGAAAATGCCCTCCTTTCTTGAGGATTAAGCAAAAATTCAAGATAATTGTGGTTGATTTCATGTGCCCAAGAAAGCTGAAAGTTAAGAGGGGAGCATGTTTTCTCTGCTGCTGCTGTTAGTTCCTGGCGTTCAATGTCCCACAACCTAGTTTTTATTATAGCTTTGGCAGATGGTGGGGACAGTGATCGCAAAGATTCCACTGACAGCCCAAGTTGCTGTACCTTTATGTTAAACCGTTGTAGCCCTGGGGAAGGAAAGGGATCTAGCAAAACTTCACTACGGAGAGGAT